ATCAATATGTGATCAATATGTGATCATGTGATGAATCCAATACTCACCATCACCTCGGAGACATGAGGTTTTAACAGCTGAGGCAGAACACACAGTCCATTCATCCATCTGTTCATCCATCCATCCATCATCCATCCATCCATCCACGGTCTAGTGGTCCAGTGGTCCGGTGGTCTGGTGGTGTGGTGGTCCGGTGGTCGGCTGATCTGGTGGTCTGGTGGTCTGGAGGTCTGGTGGTCCGGTGGTCCGGTGGTTTGGTGGTCCGGTGGTCCGGTGGTGTGGTGGTCCAGTGTTCGGGTGGTCTGGTGGTCTGGTGGTCCGGTGGTTGGGTGGTCTGGTGGTCTGGTGGTCTGGTGGTCCTGTGGTCTGGTGGTTTGGTGGTGTGGTGGTACAGTGGTCGGCTGATCTGGTGGTCTGGTGGTCTGGTGGTGTGGTGGTCCGGTGGTCGGGTGGTGTGGTGGTCCGGTGGTCGGGTGGTGTGGTGGTCCGGTGGTCGGGTGGTCTGGTGGTCTGGAGGTCTGGTGGTCCTGTGGTCTGGTGGTCTGGTGGTCTGGTGGTTGGGAGGTCTGGTGGTCCTGTGGTCTGGTGGTCCGGTGGTCCGGTGGTGTGGTGGTACAGTGGTCGGCTGATCTGGTGGTCTGGTGGTCGGGTGGTCTGGTGGTCTGGTGGTCTGGTGGTCTAGTGGTCCAGGAAGTGGTTTTGTGTTGGACCTTCATGTGATTTATACTCTTTTCATGCTGCAGGTCTTTCAGTGTCCTGCTCCTCGTTTCCCTTGCCATGGAAACCACTTTACATCTGAATAATTAAAAATGATGAACATGATGTTTGTCTGTAAGTTGAGTTCCACCTCTCAGTCCTTCATCAGCCAGTGGAGCTGTGATGTCATGGCGCCCCCTGGTGGACTTATAATATCACTGTATCTTCATCTGAACAACATCATCATCATGTTGACGTGAAGTGCCTCGCTGCTGCTTCATCAGTAAACTGAATATTATGCAGACTACAGGAGTCACATGAGGGATTGAAAACCTGAACCTCCTCAGGTCCAGGTTCAGGCTGCTGGGACTCGGTTCACCAGGTGACTCGTTACAGGAACATGGATCAAACAATAAAAGATATGTTTAAACACACACTGACATCTCACTCTGAAGATGAAAGAAGAAAATGAAAACCTTTTTTTGTGATTAAAGGTTCATGTTCCAGATTTAGACCTGATCAAAACAGATGATGTTTCTGAGGAGAGAAATGACCTCACACAGATCAAGATGATTATTGATGATCTGAGAAATTCAGTTTTCACTGACACGACCTCACATGGTGTTTGGGCTGGGGCAGTTGTTAATGAGAGTATTAGACCTGGGGCAGTTGTTGGAGCTCGGCTGGGACACAGTTCATGTTTCACACCATCTGTTGTTTCATTAATGTGTCCGAGTACTTCTCCATGGGATGAATCATATAGAGCATCATCCATCCATCCATCCATTCATTCATACAACCTTCTCTGTGTACCTATCTGTCAGGCAGATGAACATATCAATGTTCAAACTGTGACTCCTGAAGTTCAGTGATCGTCCAGCAGGGGGTGTGAGTTACTCACATTCAGAAATGCTCCTGCAAAACCCTGTTCTAACTAGAACTACAACTACACTGTTCTAATGAACCTTGTTCTAACTAAAACTACCACTATACTGTTCTAATTAACCTTGTTGTAACTAAGACTACATTGTTCTAATGGCCCCTTTTCTAACTACCACAACACTGTTCTAATAAACCCTGTTCTAACTAGAACTACACTGTTCTAACAAATCTTTTTCTGACTAGAACTACAACTACACTGTTCTAATAAACCCTGTTCTAAAGAAAACTGTTCTAAAGAACTCTGTTCTGATGAATGTTGCAGCGTTCTGCAACTTTTCACTCTATGGAGAAATCAACCTCTAACGTGTGACTTTGTACCTCTTATACAACTCAACAACAGGACACAACAACACAACAACAGGACACAACAACACAACAACAGGACACAACAACACAACAACAGCGCTATTTTGTGACATCCCAGCTGCAGTTGACACAGTACTAAACTGTGATAAACTATAAACATTTCCCAGATATACTGTACACATTTATATATGTATGAAACACAAAATGTATTTTCTGTCTCAGTCAGGCTTCCACATGTTCCATGTGTTCTTCTCTGTGTTCTCCTGCTTCAGCTGATCTCACAGGATTAAACTACTTCATATTTGAGCTTGTGTGTTGATTGGAGTTATTTTTACAGAGACAGAGAACGCTCACCTGACAGAGGACACATGTCAGGGGACAGTTGTGGCCCCACAAGGTCACGGGGCCCCAGCAGAGAGCTGCAGTCCCATGAACCATCTGTTAATGTTCCTGCTGCAGCACACGCAGCTGCTGATCCTGCAAGCTTCTGTCTCACATACATGTGGACATCAAACATGCAACCCCAGGTCTATTTATCCTACACTGTGTGGCACGCACACACACACACACACACACACACACAGTAGTTTTGTATAAATGTATATGTGTGTGTGTGTATCTACAGTAGTAACAGCAGTATCTGTGAGTGTGTGGGAGGGTGGGGGTTGGTCTCGTTGGAGTAGCGTGACCAGGCTGGAGGGGGGGGGGGGCTCACTCATTCAATCAGCTGCAGAACCCCCCCCCCCCCCGCTGGCCTGCAGACACGCAGTGGGTTTAATGTATCAGTAGAGAAACAACAGATAAGCCTGAACACTGCTGCTGTCAAACACAGACATTTTATTTTCGTAACAGGAAACTGTTGACAGTGAAACCTCTTATCGCAGTGTTGTTCCTGTCAGATGAAAACCACTGACTGCTGGTTATCAGCCGGTGCAGCAGTGAGTGTGTACAGTGGAGAACAGGCTCAGTTCAGGCTGACACATAAACTTTATTGACTTCCTGCAGAAGAACAGATGGACAGAGCTCATGTCCTGACAGACTGAAGTCTTACCTGGGTTTATAGGTGATTTATTCCCTAGATATACAGGTGATTTATTACCTGGACAGAGCTGCAGGGGTTCATCACTGTCAGAGACACCTGGAATGTCTCTGTTAGGGTGAAGCTGTGTTAAATCCTGGTGTTTCATACAGACAGTGTTTGTGTCAGCAGCTCTGAGATCAGCCCTGAAGCTGCTGCAGGAGGAGATGTCCTTCAGGTCCTCTTCATATGTTTCTGTAGCTCCTTACGTAATGTCCAACATCACATCACAGACTCATCACAGACTCAGGCTGGATAAATCACTGCAGAGACAAGGGAGAGTGAGGAGTCTAACCTGCCTTGTGTCAACAGTCTGTGGGGGGGGTCTATATGTCTCAGTCTGAGTATTGTTGCTGACCATGTTGATCCTTCATGGCCACAGTTCACTGTCTTCTAATGGCTCCTTCCATGTCACAAACCTGTTCCATCAACATGACAGTGAGGATGTGTGTGTGGTTGTTGTGTAGTAGTTGTTGTGAAGTTGTTGTGTAATTGTTGTGTTGTTGTTGTGTAGTTGTGAAGTTGTGAGTAGTTGTGTGTAGTTGTGTAGTTGTAGTTGTCAGACAGACACGTCAGTGTGCAGCAGTGAACACGTTACTACAGATTAGTGTGGATTATACAGCAGGATTATAAACTGTGTGATGGGTCAGAATTGATCTGTAAATGGGGCAGATATCAGTGATCGGGGTCAGACATGTTACTGTCTTTACATCAGCATGAAGGAACAGTCTGATCCACAGAGTCTACAGAGATCATGAACTGACATGTTCAGCACAGCTGAGCTCCTACTGTGAGATTATCATTATTTAAATGATTTTATTTCATTCACTCGACGTTCATCTCTGATGCAATAAGCCACTTTAATGACAGTGCTCACCTCCGCACATCCAAATGTTTAACCAAGGCTGGCCCCCATCCCTTCAGTCGGAGGAACTGCTGCATCAGAGGAGGCTTCATCAACTTGTGTGGAATCTGACGTGGACCAACAGTGTTGAGTAGTTCACATCTTCTGCTGATACGTATCCCCCCACAGATATTTGCTCTTCTGTAACGTTTAATGTTCCTTAGTGTAGTAGAGTGAAGTAGTAATCAGCTGGAATCAGGATGATCAGCTCTCACCTGTCGCTCAATGTGTCAGAGGATATTTATATAAAGTTGAGTCTTTCTCAACTTTCAGAAGCTAACTTAGTTAGCTCAGAGTTAGCTAATAGCTCTTGACTCTGTACTCAAGTTAACTGAACCCACCTGACTAGAGGATGGATTTATGCATAGCTTGTTAGATATACATGTAAATCAGACAGACTTGGCGCTGGAAGGTGGATATTTTCTCTTTTGATTGAGCTGGGCTAACAGTTTCCCACTGCTTCCAGTCTTGTGCTAAGCTAGGCTAACAGTTTCCCCTGCTCCAACACATTTTGGTTGGAATCAGCCTGAAACCTATGCAGGAATTAATCAGCAGCAGGATCATTAGGCAGGAACAGGAACCACCTCATGCCCTCTGGATGCTGATATCAGTCCCTGAACCTAGAACCAAAGGGGCCACAACTGGTTTTGTACCAGCCTCCACCCGCCTACTGAACTCTTCCCCATCCCCATCTGTTCCATTCGGGGAGAAAGGAGTAGTGTGATTATTGTATTTGTCTCATTTCTTTACTTTAATTTTGACTTTTAATTGAAAATAGCTTCGATAACATGAATGTTGAGGCCTTCATCTCATACCCTTTCACGTGTTAAATGTGCTTCTCCTAACCTTTCCTCCTTAGTTTAGTCGTTACTCGGTGTTTTCGATTTGAATCTGTCCGGAGAAGGGATCCGGAGCCACTCTGTCTGACAGGAGGCGGTCCTCCTCTGTCATTCCAGCCGTTTTAAGTCAGGACGCTGCTCGGGATTGGAGGAGGATTACGGTCGGAGCTCCTTCCAAGCAGCCTATTGGCTACTGCTGATGTCATTCAGACGCTCCTCGGCGCTGTGAGGGACTACCATGGAAGAAGGTGGGAAAAAAACAAAAATAATCTGTGCAGGGCGGCCATCTTGCCTGCGCTCGCAGAGGCAGGGAGAGACTGGAAGTGAGGACGGAGGAGAACCGCAGCGGGAAGAAACAAACCGCGGATGTTTATTTTTATTCAGGGCGGAACGTTTACACGACTGGTTCACCGCCAACCCGCAGAGAATCTGCGTGGTCGTGCCTGCGGTTTGTTGTTTTCCTCCTCGGGATCCGGTGAGGAAACCCGCTCCCGTTAAACCAGCTAGCTGAGGGGCTAAGCTAACGGCTAGCCGGGCCAGCTAGCTGTTCGATGACCGAGCTGTGGTCGTCAGCAGCGGATTGAAGACTGCAGCTCCGTTCGGTAACATTGTGTCTGGTCGTGGAGGGCTGTTTTCTAAGTGCGGACTCTGATCCCGGATCACACCACCGACACGACGTCCGGAGCAGCGTCGTGTTTATTTGACACCAAACACCTTATGGACAGCTCGGGTTTAGCGTTCCTTCGGTGTGACGGTCAGCCTGGAGATTCCGTAAATTAAAGCAGGATTTTGAAGAGACTTTACCACCGACTAACAACGGCCGGAGATCCGCTTAATCCCGCTCTGGAAATACACTAAATCAGTGCAGATCGATGAAAATGTCCTGCCTGCTGCCGGAGAAAAAGGCTGTTTTTCTGCTCCAGTTTACACCCAGTTCGACTGTAGGCTACCAAGTGTATAACTGTCAATGACATTACCTGTAATCACACAGTGAACCGGCCGCTCAGCTGTATTTGATCCCGATGAAGAGACCTGGAAGTCGGATGATATTACACAGTTTGTCGGTGCCTCCTCTTTAATCAGGCCTGTCCTCAAATAAACGAGTTATAACTGCAGCTCCGTGCTCAACATTTACCTCATTTCATCCTGGCTAAATGTGTTATATTTGTTCACCTTAAACCAGATCTAGTTTAAAGGGACGTTAATTCCGGTTGATTTCTCTTTGGATTATAACTACAATAACGGATTCGGTCTTTGGATCCACGATGGGATCAGCGACCAAACTGGCCTTCAGTGTTTTCCTCATCTCCTGCTCTTCAGGTGAGTCTGCTGTCATCACAGCTCGTACCTGGCTTTACACACTGTACATACAGTGGGAGGGGTTCATTGCCTGAGGAGCCCAGCTGCAGCTGTTGTTCGAGTCACAGTATTTTAAGAGTTTCAGTTCAGATCTGCTCCTACCATCATCCTGTTCTCCAGTGTTTCATTATCAGTTACTGAGACGTAAGAAAACACGAAACATTCCTTTTACAACATCCAGTTATGTAAGTAATGAATATATTTATGATCGAATAATCTGAGATTAATTGATTAATCGTTTGAAGTGTATACCACCTGAAAGTAGTGAAAAGATAATTCCCTTAAATACTTAAATTCTCTGAGCTGAAGTAGATGTACTAAACATATTTATCATATGTTCAGTTAACTGTCACTGAAGACTAAGAAGCTGGAAACATTCAGTTAGAGAAGCTGAAACATCACCTGGATGATGAAGCCTATTTTATTATTGATTGACCTAATGATTATTTTTCTAATTAGTCCACTAATTATTATTCTTTTAAATGACAAAAATAGTGAAAAATGCAAGTGTAGCCTCTTCAAATGTCCTGTTTTGTCTAAAACCTTCATATATCCATTTTACAATGATATAACACAGAAAACAACAAATCCTCCTGTTTCAGAGGCTGGAACTAGAGAATATTTGACATTATTAAATTTCAGATTTGAAAGCTGATAAGATCGTCCAAGTTTCAGATGTCTGTCTTCTCTGATCAACCATCAAAAATCCAGACACATCCTCTTTACAGCTAAAAGAAATTAGTTAATTTGTTAATTATCTGATCAACAGACAAATATTCAAGACAAATATATAGACAAATATACTATAATTATAATTTGAGTCGTTTTTCAGGTGGAAAAATGCCAGAAATTCTCTGGAGTCAGACGTTTGAAGGTTCTGAGTGAGGGGAACTGGACTTGGCTGTACTTGGTAGATACATGAAAATATTTCAAGTATCTACAGCCCAAAGTATTTATAAATGTTAACAGTAGTAATTGTACTCAGTGTTTCCTCTAGGATTTTTTTCAGCAGTGGGGGGCATGCTCTCCGGGGGAGGGGGGGGGGGCAGTTGACAGCAGATTTTACTTTCAAAACCTATTTATTGGCTGGCCAGTTGAATATGCTTTTATCGCTGCCATTGAACTTTTACAATATATATCTCAGCCATATACAATGTCAAGAAAAATCAATACCTTTGGTTTGTGAAAAATAAATGTTACTTCAACTCTAACCAGTTGAAAATGTAAAAAGTAAAAAATAAATAAAACAATAACATTAAATAAATAAAAATAATAAATAAACATATAAAGATCAGCTAGATGGGGCTGTAGAGTCAGTGGCAAAGTTTGCACCCAGGCTCAGAGCACTTGATTTTCAGCGTTATATAGTTTACACTCACATCACATCTGATTACAAGTGTGAACATTAAAATATTATTTTTTACCTAACCATCATCATTTACGAGTCAGTAAAAGGCTTATGATAGGCTACCTGACTAGCGTCTTCTTCTGTTGTCTTTCTCTTCTTAGAGAAGTATCTGAACAAGCTCATCTGAAAATGCAGTCAGCAGTTAATACATAATGACGTGTAGATATTAGCTTAATGCTATCAATTAGTTTACCCAAGTTAGCGTCACTGAGTTGGCTAATAAGTCTACCTTTTCTCCGGTAGTTCGCTGCCTTATTCCTCACGACTACACTTCTCTGACTCTGACCTGGTGCCTGACGTGACGTCACTTTCAAGGCCGCGCTCTCGCGAGTAATTAACTCCAATAGGATCCCCCAACCACCCCACTCCCTCCCTCCCCTCCCCTCCCCTCCCCCCGCTGTTGCGCTCATCATCACACAGGCTGTGCTGTGAAGGTGGAGAGATGTGGCGGTGGTGCACTTGCGACAATAAAAAAAAAAAAGAAAAAAAAAAAGTTTGAAGGCGTGGCGGCTATGATTTAGCAGTGGCGGGCCGCCACTGCTAAATGAATGTAGAGGAAACACTGGTACTGTTAGTATCAAACCTTTATACATTGAGATACCAATAGTATTTTGGTATCGACCAAAATGTGTTTGAACTACATTGAAATTAACGGTTTGGTGACTGAAATTAAACTGAAATTTCAGTTACCAAACATAACAGCAGCAGCAGCAGCCGGTTGGAAAATGCTGCCATGTCTGTTCAGATGAGAATTGCGTTAGCTCCAGGTGTTGGTGGTGAGACCAGCAGCATTCAGGTAGCTCCAGGTGTAGCTGCCACAGGAAGTGTCAGACAGTTTGTTGGAACAATAATGAAAAATACCTGTCATCTGTTCCCACAGATGAGATATTTAAATGACTGTATCAGAGCAGACTCAGAGAACATGACTGCTCATGTGTCACTGTAACACCTTTATTCTACCTTTATTTAAGCAGGTAACAGACTCACTGAAGGACAGTGACCTGGACCAGAGAACAGGTGACACACCTGTGTTTCCCCTCAGACACACAGTTTAAAGCTTTTCACTTGATTCTGTTTCAACATCTGTAACATCTGTAGAACACAGACAACAGGCCATAATGAGTGTGGTTTATATACCTGTCTGTCCACATGAGAAGGAAGGGGACAGGTAGACAGGTGAGCAGCAGACTGAGCTGAAGCTTGGACTGTGTGTGGGCTGTAGTGATAAATCAGTTCATCACAGTGACAGTTGAACATCTGGACACATGCTGCGGCTGCAGTAAGAACATCTGGGTGAGAACCAGCAGCTTCGTGTGTGTGTGTGTGTGTGTTGCGTGCAGTGTGGAGCTCATACACATTTGATAAGACTAAATATTTAAAGGACCATCCCTCTGATTTCAGCCTCATGGTTTCACTGTATCTCAGGTGTAGTGATGAAGCTTCACCTGTCCTCATCTTCCCTTTACACTTACACAGACAGACAGACAGGTAGGTGGAGGCTTGATGTATGCTGACAGGTGGATTCATACCTGTCTTTAAACAAGACAAGAGTGGAGACATTAGAATCAGTAATATCTGATGGATGGTCAGTGCCAGTAACGTTAGATCTTGATTGGTTAATCTGTTCTCTGCTGATTATCAGACCTATCTCCTGTTGAATGATTGATTAGTCATTTTATTAGGAATATGCCATGAAGTAATGACAATAATGTGACATGAATATAAATAATTGACATTTATTTCACATTGGTAAATGATTACAGAGCTTCTGTGTTGTGTTGGCTGTGATGGTGGAGCAGGTATTAGTCTAGAAAAAGGTCTGAACAGTTTGAGCTGATAACCAGGTGAGTCCAGACTCTGACCTCCTTCATATGAAGGACCAGGTGAGTCCAGACTCTGACGGACTCTGTCTCTTCCTCAGGTGCCATCCTGGGTCGCTCAGAGACTCAGAAGTGCGTCCACTACAACTACAGCCCTTCATCCTCGTCCTCCTCCTCCTCAGCGTCTGAGGGGCGGGGGAACGTCAGCGGGGTGGTCACCTGCTCTGGGGAGAAAGATAAGAGGGTGCACTGCTTCGCCACGTGGAAGAATGTCTCAGGAGCCGTCCAGGTGGTCAAACAGGGCTGCTGGCTGGACGACGTCAACTGCTACGATAGGTGACTATCAGTCCTCTTTCAGACCATATCCAGTCACAGTAAGACCACCTGAGTCAGGCCTGAACCAGATGGTGATCTGATTCAGTCTGGCATCACTTCCTGATGATGTCATGATCTCTGATGTCCCACCACAATAAAACTCAAGAGAAACAGAGGCTGCAGAACTTCATAGAGAATCCTCCTGTTTTTAAGTTTCCTTCAGTATCACAGTGTGAACATCATGATACACTGCAGACATGAGCTGATCACACCTGATCACAACTGATCACAGCTGATTAAGCTGCTGGTAATGAGACAGGAATCAGATGTAGGGTAGTGTGGGGGTGGGGAGATGAACTGATCTCACAGCTCAGTCCTCAGTCTACTGCATGTCATGTGACTGAAGACTCACCTGTGAGGTTTACCTGTCGGTGCTCAGTAACCCCCTCTGTCCCTGACAGAGGGTGACATTAGAGTTTTGTGTCTCTTTGTCTAGTTGTTGTAGTTTTGTGTCTCTTTGTGGTGGTTTTGTGTGTCTTTGTCTCTTTGTAGTGGTTTCATGACTCTTTGTGTCATTGTTGTGGTTTTGTGTCTCTTTGGCTCTTTGTAGTGGTTTCATTTTTTTTGTGGTGGTTTCATGTCTCTATCTGTCTTTGTGGTGGTTATGTGTCTCGTTGTTTTGTGTGTCTTTGTGGTGATTTCGTGTCTCTTTGTCTCATTGTGGGGGTTTCGTGCCTCTTTGTTGTGGTTTCATGTCTCTTTGTGGTGGTTTCATGTCTGTTTGTTGTGGTTTCATGTCTCTTTGCGGTGGATTAGTGTCTCTTTGTCTCATTGTGGTGGTTTCATGTCTGTTTGTTGTGGTTTCATGTCTCTTTGTGGTGGTTTCGTGTCTCTTTGTCTCATGGTGGTTTTGTGTCTCTTTGTCTCATTGTGGTGGTTTCATGTCTCTTTGTCTCATTGTTGTGGTCTCTTGTCTCTTTGTAGTGGTTTCATGTCTGTTTGTTGTGGTTTCATGTCTCTTTGTTGTGATTTTATGTGTCTTCGTGGTGTTTTCGTGTCTCTTTGTTGTGGTTTCATGTCTCTGTCTCTTTGTAATGGTTTCATGTCTGTTTGTTGTGGTTTCATGTCTCTTTGTGGTGGTTTCGTGTCTCTTTGTCTCATGGTTGTGGTTTCATGTCTCTGTCTCACGTAGTGGTTTCATGTCTGTTCGTTGTGGTTTCATGTCTGTTTGTGGTTTCATGTCTCTTTGTTGTGGTTTCATGTGTCTTTGTGGTGGTTTCGTGTCTCTTTGTCTCATGGTGGTTTTGTGTCTCTTTATGTCTTTGCGGTGGTTTCATGTCTCTTTGTGTCTTTGCGGTGGTTTCATGTCTCTTTGTGGTGGTTTCATGTCTGTTTGTTGTGGTTTCATATGTCTCTTTGTGGTGGATTAGTGTCTCTTTGTCTCATTGCGGTGGTTTCATGTCTCTTTGTGGTGGTTTTGTGTCTCTTTGTCTCATGCTGGATTAGTGTCTCTTCGTCTCATTGCGGTGGTTTCATGTCTCTTTGTGGTGGTTTTGTGTCTCTTTGTCTCATGCTGGATTAGTGTCTCTTTGTCTCATTGCGGTGGTTTCATGTCTCTTTGTGTTTTTGTGGTGGTTTCATGTGTCTTTTTGGTGGTTTCACGTCTCTGTCTCTTTGTGGTTGTTTTGTGTCTCTTTGTCTCATTGTTGTGGTTTCACGTATTTTTGTCTCTTTGTGGTGGTTTCATGTCTGTCTCTTTGTGGTGGTTTCATGTCTCTTTGTCTCTTTGTGGTGGTTTTGTGTCTCTTTGTGTCTTAGTGGTGGTTTCGTTTCTCTTTGTCTCTTTGTGGTGGTTTCATGTCTCTTTGTCTCTTTGTGGTGGTTTTGTGTCTCTTTGTGTCTTTGTGGTGGTTTCGTGTCTCTTTGTCTCTTTGTGGTGGTTTCATGTCTCTTTGTGGTGGTTTTGTGTCTCTTTGTGTCTTTGTGGTGGTTTCGTTTCTCTTTGTCTCATTGTTGTGGTTTCATGTCTCTTTGTGGTGGTTTTGTGTATCTTTGTGTCTTTGTAGTGGCTTCGTGTCTCTTTGTCTCATTGTTGTGGTTTCGTGTCTCTTTGTGTCTTTGTGGTAGTTTTGTGTCTCTTTGTCTCATTATGGTGGTTTTGTGTCTCTTTGTGTCTTTGTTGTGGTTTCATGTCTCTTTGTCTCAATGTTGTGGTTTCATGTCTGTAGACCTGTTCAGTAATCCACACATGGGCCCAGGTTAATGAATGATATCAGTTATTGATTATTGTAGAACAGTGAGCTGCTGACTGTTGTTCTCCATCGTTCTGCTGAAGCTGTTAAATAATAATAATGAATGACATCAGAACTACAGAAACACTGAGAACAGACTTTCTTCAGGTGAAGAAGAATCACACACACACACACACACCTACCCGACTCTTTCTCTGTTGGCAGGAATGAGTGTATGGAGAAGAAAGATGCTCCTGAAGTCTTCTTCTGCTGCTGTGAAGGTGCTTTGTGTAACGACAAGTTCTTCTACAGCCCCGAAGGCTACCTGTCACCGATACCCAGTAAGATTCACCTGTCCATGTATTCACCTGTCCACCTGTCACCTTGTCCACCTGTTCACCTCTCCACCTGTCCACCTGCCCACCTGTCCATGTGTTTGCCTGTTCACCTGTCCTGTCTGATCCCTTCTGTAAATGAACTCTGCTGTCAACAGTTTGTGATGTTGTTATTTTATACTTCTACATCGCTGTACATTTCCGTAGCAACGAACAAACCGGTGACGTCTCCGCCTCCGGTGCTTACCACTCTGATGTACTCCCTGGTTCCCATCATGGCTGTCACCGCCATAGTCCTCTTCTCCTTCTGGATGTACCGTCACCACAAACTGGCCTACCCACCTGTGCTGGTGCCCACACAGGTGAGACCTGCTCAGTGTTTCTGTGGAGCTTTTTCTTCTTTGGTGTTTTTAAATAGCTATATACACACACACACGTCATCCACAGATTAATATACTACATCATATTACTGTAGTCAGCTGAATGAAAGCTGTCTGTAGGTTCAGGTGTAGGCCCAGCAGAGTAAACAGATTAGGGGATATAAGCAACAACACAGAAAAAAAGCAGAATGCAGCTCGGAGGACTAAGATGTCGTCGACAACTTCAGTAGTTGGAGATATTTTGGCTTTTTACAGTCTGACAAAAAACAGTGCAATGTGCACTGCACACTGTGCCGGAGAAACGTTCCATCAAAGACAGGTAACACCACAAACCTGTTTCATCATTTGAAACAATATCACCAGTTAGAACACACAGAAACTAAGAAACTACAGGTCTAAACAAGTGTTAGTGGACCCTCAACGAGCGCCAGGCCAGTACCCAGTGCAAATCTTCTCTGTCTGATTATTTATTTATTATTTAGCAGTCTGATCATGTGACATGTATGCTGTATCACACTGCAGAACTTAATTTTCTATTTACTTTGTTGAGCAAAAAAGACTAAAAAGGATTTTGATTTTAATCGTGTATATTTGATTATGTATTGAATGTTTGTGCCTCTGAGTTTTTAAATGTTATGCTGTTTGGCAAGTGTTTGTCGTGTTCTGACTAAATAGAACAGTTTAAAACCACAGTTGACTGTCTGGTTTCTTCAACTTTCTCTCAGGAGCAAAAATTAGCCTTTAAATCTGAAAGAAATAACGATGAGGCATTTATCGTGATAAATATTGATATCGTCTAATATGGAAATTTTTATTGTGACAACAGTTTTGTTCATATCGCCGGGGCATAGGTCCAGGTGTAGCTCTGAGATTCATGTGTAGGCCCATGTGTAGGCCCATGTGCAGGCCCATGTGTAGGCCCAGGTGTAGCTCTGAGGTTCAGGTGTAGGTCCAGGTGTAGCTCTGAGGTTCAGGTGTAGGCCCAGGTGTAGCTCTGAGGTTCAGGTGTAGGTCTAGGTGTAGATCTGAGGTTCAGGTGTAGGCCCAGGTGTAGGTCCAGGTGTAGCTCTGAGGTTTAGGTCTAGGTCTAGGTGTAGCTCTGAGGTTCAGGTGTAGGCCCAGGTGTAGGTCCAGGTGTAGCTCTAAGGTTCAGGTGTAGGCCCAGGTGTAGCTCTGAGGTTCAGGTGTAGGCCCAGGTGTAGCTTTGAGGTTCAGGTGTAGGCCCAGGTGTAGCTCTGAGGTTCAGGTGTAGGCCCAGTAGTAGCTCTGAGGTTCAGGTGTAGGTCCAGGTGTAGCTCTGAGGTTCAGGTGTAGGCCCAGGTGTAGCTCTGAGTGTCAGTCTGAGGTTCAGGTGTAGGCCCAGGCGTAGGTCCAGGTGTAACTCTGAGGTTCAGGTGTAGGCCCAAGCGTAGGTCCAGGTGTAGCTCTGAGGTTCAGGTGTAGGCCAAGTTGTAGGTTCAGGTGTAGGTACAGGTGTAGCTCTGAGGTTCAGGTGTAGGCCCAGGTATAGCTCTGAGGTCCAGGTGTAGGTCCAGGTGTAGCCCAGGTATTAAACCCTGAGGCTTCATGGTGTCAGGCCCAGGTATAACTCTCGAGGTTCAGGTGTAGGTTCCAGTTAGTAGCTCTGAGGTCAGGTTGTAGGCCCAAGGTGGTAGCTCTGAGGTTCAGGTGTAAGGCCAGTATTAACTCTGAGGTCCAGATGTACTCTGAGGTTCAAGTGTAGGCCCCAGGAGTATTAACTCTGAGTTCAGGTGTAGGCCCCAGGCTGTAGGCTCTGAGATTCAGGTGTAGGGTCCAAGTGTAGCCTCTGAGCAGCCCAGGTGTCAGGTTTCCAGGTGTAGCTCTGAGGTTAAGGTGTAGCCCAGGTGTAGATTTTGAGGTTCGCGGTCGTAGGCCAGTGTGTCAGCTCTGAGGTTCAGCGTGTTACGGCCAGGTGTAAGCCTCTGAGATTCAGGTGTAGCCCAGTGTATAACTCTGAGGTTCCAGGTGTCAGGGTCCAGGATGTAGCTTCTGCAGTTCAGGTGTAAGGTCCAGGTTATAGATCTGAGGTCCAAGGTGTAAAAGCTCTTGCAGGTTCATCGGTGTAAGGCCCAGGCGTAGGGTCCAGTGTAGCCTGAGGTTCAGGTGTTAGGCAAGTTGTAGTTTCAGCGGAGGTACATAGGTTGCAGCTTTTGAGGTCCAGGGTAGGCCAGTATAACTCTGCAGGTTCAGATGTAGGCCGCAGTAGTACTCCTGAGGTTCAGGTGTAGGTCCAGGTGTAGCTTTGAGGTTCAGTGTGTAAGGCCCCAGGTATAACTCTGAGGTTCAGGTGTAGCGCCCAGGTGTAGCTCTGAGTTCAGGTGTAAGCTCCAGGTATCAACTCTGAGGTTCAGGTGTAAGCTCTGAGGTTCAGGGTAGGGCCCCAGGTGTTAGCTCTGAGGCCCAGGTGAGGTCAGGTGTCTCTGAGGTTAAGGTGTAAGGGCCCAGGTGTTAGTTTTGAGGATTCGGTGGTGGCCCAGGTAGCTCTGAGGTTCACGGTGTAGGCCCAGTAGTGTAGCTCTGAGATTCAGGTGTAGGCCCAGGTATAACTTCTGGGGTTCAGTGTGCAGTAGGAAGCTCATGAGTATACAAGTTAGCTAGTACAGAGTGTTCAGCGTTGTAGAGTAGGGTGCTCTATTAGAGTCAGTATAGATCTGAGGTCCCGGTGTGCTACTGAGGTTAGGTGAGCTTAGTATCAATGAGGGTTAGGCAAGTATACCGTAGAAAGTTTCAGTGAGGTACAGGTGCAGAGCTTTGAGGTACCAGGTGTAGGAGCCCAGGTTACTCTGGTAGTTTAGCTGAGGGCCCGATAAGTGCTCTGAAGTCAGACTGTAGGTCCGCAGGTGTAGCTTTAGGTTCAGCTGTGGCCCGGATTAACTCTGAGGAATTCGGTGATGGCCAAGGTATAAGCTACTCGAGGTTCAGGTGTAGACCCAGAGATAAACTCTGAGGTTCAGGTATAAACTCTGAGGGTTCAGGTCCCGTAGGCCCAGGCATGATAACTCTGAGCGCTTCAGGTGGAACCTCTTGAGGTTCAGGTTGTAGAGCCCAGGTATAACTCTTCGAGGTTCAGGTGTAGGCAGGTGTAAGCTCTGAGGTCCAGGGTGTAGCTCTGAGGTCCAGGTGTACTCTGAGGTTCAGTATCTCTCTTATATATATCTCTCTTCTGAGTTCAGGTGTAGGCCCAGGTGTAACCTTGAGGTTCAGGTGTAGGCCCAGGTGTAGCTTTGAGGTTCAGGTGTAGGCCCAGGATTTAACTCTGAGGTCAGGTGTAGCGCCCAGCGTGTAACTCTTAGGTTCAGGTGCTAGGCCCAGGTATAACTCTGAGGTTCAGGTGTAGGCGCCCAGTATAACTCTGAAGGTTCAGAGTGTAGTTCTGAGGTTCAGGTGTAGGCGCCCATGTGTAGCTCTGAGGTCCAGGTGTAACTCTGAGATTCAGGTGTAGGCCCAGTATAACTCTGAGCGTTCAGGTGTAGGCCCAGGTGTAACTCTGCAGGTTCACGTGTAGGCCCAAAAGGTGTAGCTTTGAGGTTCAGGTTGTAGGCCCATGGTGTAACTCTGAGGTTCAGTGTAGGCCCAGAGCGTTAGGTCCAGGGTTTGTAGCTCTGAAGAGTTCAGCGTGCTAGGCCAAGTTGTAGTTCAGGTGCTAGGTACAGTTGTATAGCTCTGAGGTTCAGGTGTTAGCCCAGGTATAGCTCTGGAGGTCCAGGTGTAGTCCAGGTTAGCTCTGAAGTCAGGCTGTAGTGCCCAGGTGTAGCTTTTGAGTCCAGGTGTAGGCCCAGGCGTAGGTCCAGGTGTAACTCTGAGGTTCAGGTGTAGGCCCAAGCGTAGGTCCAGGTGTAGCTCTGAGGTTCAGGTGTAGGCCAAGTTGTAGGTTCAGGTGTAGGTACAGGTGTAGCTCTGAGGTTCAGGTGTAGGCCCAGGTATAGCTCTGAGGTCCAGGTGTAGGTCCAGGTGTAGCTCTGAGGTTCAGGTGTAGGCCCAGGTGTAGCTCTGAGGTTCAGGTGTAGGCCCAGGTATAACTCTGAGGTCCAGATGTAACTCTGAGGTTCAAGTGTAGGCCCAGGTATAACTCTGAGGTTCAGGTGTAGGCCCAGGTGTAGCTCTGAGATTCAGGTGTAGGTCCAAGTGTAGCTCTGAGGCCCAGGTGTAGGTCCAGGTGTAGCTCTGAGGTTAAGGTGTAGGCCCAGGTGTAGTTTTGAGGTTCGGGTGTAGGCCCAGGTGTAGCTCTGAGGTTCAGGTGTAGGCCCAGGTGTAGCTCTGAGATTCAGGTGTAGGCCCAGGTATAACTCTGAGGTTCAGGTGTAGCTCTGAGGTTCAGGTGTAGGCCCAGGTGTAGCTCTGAGGTCCAGGTGTAACTCTGAGGTTCAGGTGTAGGCCCAGGTGTAACTCTGAGGTTCAGGTGTAGGCCCAGGTGTAACTCTGAGGTTCAGGTGTAGGCCCAGGTGTAGCTTTGAGGTTCAGGTGTAGGCCCATGTGTAACTCTGAGGTTCAGGTGTAGGCCCAGGTGTAACTCTGAGGTTCAGGTGTAGGCCCAGGTGTAACTCTGAGGTTCAGGTGTAGGCCCAGGTGTAACTCTGAGGTTCAGGTGTAGGCCCAGGTGTAGCTTTGAGGTTCAGGTGTAGGCCCATGTGTAACTCTGAGGTTCAGGTGTAGGCCCAGGTGTAACTCTGAGGTTCAGGTGTAGGCCCAGGTGTAACTCTGAGGTTCAGGTGTAGGCCCAGGTGTAGCTTTGAGGTTCAGGTGTAGGCCCATGTGTAACTCTGAGGTTGAGGTGTAGGCCCAGGTGTAACTCTGAGGTTCAGGTGTAGGCCCAGGTGTAACTCTGAGGTTCAGGTGTAGGCCCAGGTATAACTCTGAGGTTCAGGTGTAGGCCCAGGTATAACTCTGAGGTTCAGGTGTAGCTCTGAGGTTCAGGTGTAGGCCCAGGTGTAGCTCTGAGGTTCAGGTGTAGGCCCAGGTGTAACTCTGAGGTTCAGGTGTAGGCCCAGGTATAACTCTGAGGTTCAGGTGTAGGCCCAGGTATAACTCTGAGGTTCAGGTGTAGGCCCAGGTATAACTCTGAGGTTCAGGTGTAGCTCTGAGGTTCAGGTGTAGGCCCAGGTGTAGCTCTGAGGTCCAGGTGTAACTCTGAGGTTCAGGTGTAGGCCCAGGTGTAACTCTGAGGTTCAGGTGTAGGCCCAGGTGTAGCTTTGAGGCTCAGGTGTAGGCCCAGGTGTAACTCTGAGGTTCAGGTGTAGGCCCAGGTGTAGCTTTGAGGTTCTGACTCTACATGTCTCTCTCTCTCTCAGCACGCCTTTCACATTATGATCGAGGTAAGAAGAGAAACTCGTCGTTTCAGCTTCATCACTGCCGTTGTTTTATTTTTGCATCTTGATTTTCCTGTTCAGCCTGAGATGCCTTTATTTTGTTACTCTGTGTCTCTGTGTCTCTGCCACTGTTGTTTATTCGTTGTTATTTATGCTCTGTGATGTTGTGGATGTTTGTGCACAGATGGACAGACGTTGTCTCCATGTGCATGTCACAAAGCAGGTTGAGCATGCAGTCAGTAACAGGTCTGGACTTCATCTCCCATCAGCCCTCTCTACAGCTCAGTTCAGATTGGACATGTCCCATCAGAGACCAGCTGGTTTATCCACACAGTGATTGGTCCACCAGAGGGCGCTCTTAAAACTCATTGCATTTTGATCAGTAATCTAATGTAATCAATGAAGATGGAGGACAGTGGCAGCAGAGCCATGAGCTGATTGGACGATCAGAGAGACAGTTAAACTTGCTCCATGTAGATCTAGTTCAGAGTCTGGAACCGAACACACACATCAGACATTAACCCTTCACTGTCCCACAGTCCAGAGTCAACACACACACAGGAACACATCTGTAGGACCTGAAAACACAGACACACACACATGAACACGTCTGTAGGATCTGAACACACACACACACACACACACACACACGGATATGTCTGCAGGACCTGATCAGACACACACACGCGAACACGTCTGCAGAACCTGAACACACACACACACACACACTAAACAGCTGTGCTACGCAGGACCTATGAACACCAAACACACACAAAAAAACATGTTTGGCAGGACCTGAATAACACACACACACACACACACACACACACACACACAAACACGGTCTGCAGACCTGAACACACACACCACACATAAACACTGTCTGCAGGACCTGAACACACACACACAAACATGTCTGCAGGACGCTGAACACACACACCACAAACACAACACGTCTGCGGGAACCTGAAAACCACACACACACATGGAAACGTCTGCAGGAACCTGAAAACAACACCACACCGATGAACACATCTGTAGGACCTGAACACACACAAACCAGTCTGTGGTTTCCATTGTGCTCCTCCAGGACCCTGGGCCCTCCCCACCTCCCACCATCCTGGGCCAGAAAGCCGCTGCAGCTGTGGAGATGTCAAGCCAGGGGCGCGCTTTGGCAGTGCGTGTGGAAGGGCTCAAGCTGCTCAGTGAATATGTGGCTGTTCCAAGATCTTCCCCATACAGGTCTGTACTGATTGTTTGTTACCTGGACTGTTTCTGTACTGACTTTCTTTACAGTAACTGTCTTGTTCACATGTCAACACTCACCTGTCAGTAAGTGTGAAGAAACAAGATCATGTGACTGCAAGCTTGTCCATTCATACATGATGCGAACAGAGGTCTAGGGAGGTTTACTGATGTCATTAGACATTTAAACCAATCTGCACGAAAAACATCAAGTAGAGTGAACATCTGTACAGGGAACATTTACATTTACGGACACGATCTACAGGAGACTGGAATATGGTACACAACAGACCTCTGATGGCAGATGTGCATCCTGGTCGGGGGTCATGATTGATGGTCATAGAGACGTCAAAGTGACTCAGCTCGTTTGTTCCAGAAACGACGTTTAAACCAACAGGGTGAGAGATTTCATTATTCAGCTTATTATTTTGCTTTGAGGTCACTTCACTTCCTCCTCTGCCTGGTAGAGAAGGTTCTGTGGTCCAGACCTGGTGGTTCCAGTTTTCAGAACCTCCCCCACTGCTGATGTGTGTGTGTTTAGACTTAAGCTCGCAGCTTTAATCCCCTGCAGGCTGACTGTTGTCCTCTCAGCCACATCAGCATGCAGTTAAAACCCCAACATGACCTAATCAGAATACCACTGCTGCCACGACGACACACACACACACACACGACGTTGGCATCAGCAGATGAAGGTTGTGTTCATCATTGTGAGTCCTTTGCTGCACACCACTGGGAAGAATAAGAAACAAGGCGACGACTCAAAAACAAAGGGGGAGGTATAACAACACAACATAACACCTCCTGCTATGACCTCTGTGCGTCACAGGACAAACGAGTTCGTGGCGGAATGATGTTTGAGATCTACCCTAGTAGAACGGGGATGGCAGATGCCACCGGAGAACCTGCTGCAATTTTATGCAGAGGCCGAGAAGAGAGGAAGTAATGATGAGTGAGCTATTGGAGCTCATGCTCCTCCCGCGCTCGCCGACAATGGGTAATCGATATACCTGACACACAACGCACACACACGCAACACACACACACACCACACACCCAGCTGAATCCAAAGATGAGTCATATCTCTCTCTCT